TCCGAGACGCCTAATTTAATTATAAATTTTATATCAGAAAGATTCGTTTAGTGTTAATTCTAGTAGGCTACGGAGTTTTGATTTTAAACGTTTATTTAGCCAACAGCTACCTAGGGATTTAGTTATTTTACAAGTGCAGTTGATAGTACCTAAATTTTTAATCTTATTATCTAAAGTATGTTTGCATTTTAGGCTGCTACTATGATAAACCAATCCATAAACCCAAATATGATTAGCAACAACGACTATGGTGGGTTTATTGATAAATGTTAAAGGCGATTCAGATGATTTCTAAATTCAAAAGATATGAAGATATAGTGTAACGTATGTACGGGCCACGTTAACATGCAGGTTGTTGACGTATATAAAAATTTAAAAATAATGAACATGACCAGGAAAAGTAATTTTAAAGTCAAGACTGCTTATGAAACTTCAGGCAAGAATGTAACGCGTTATAAACATTCCATAAGAAGTTACTGCATTTAGCCTAGGGACACTTACAAATATGTGGCAAAAGCAACTGGAAAGCATATACATGTTAAGTACAAAAAATCATTAAGTAAAATAGTTGAACTCGCCTGGATTATTCTTGAAAATTATATTATCCAGTGGACGACATATATAACGCCATTCGTGAGGAGTAGTAATGATCCAAAAGTATCCAGGATAAAACATGCAGTATGGCAATTAATTCCAGAGTCCTTGATGCTGTTGACGTTTTTGCCACTCGCTCGGATCAGAACAACCGAATGAATCCAGATAATTGTGCGGTCACCATTGAACGAGCCATCTAAAATGACCTTATGATTGCAGAAAACTTATGGCTGAAACTCACCGTATGTTTTTAGAGAAGTGTCATCCTTGTTGTTTGGCAATGGAACTCGAAAATTTGAAATTAGGCAGGCAGTGGTCGGAAGAAGCGATATTACAGGATAGTGCATAGTTTAAAACAGGATGAGGTAATAAGATAAGGAACACTGAATATTAGATCCAGGTAACTATTTAGTCCTTGCTGCATTGTTAGTCGATGTATATTTGCGTTATTTACTGGTCATGTTTGCTAGAGCTTGATGCTTAAACAAGCCTATGTCGCTGAAGCATGTAAATGCTATTAAAGCTTGTTAACGAACCCTCAAAGCTAATTAGTTAATATAGACGACCAGTTTTTATTATCGAATGAGCTAGTAAGTTATGTGAACTAATAGATATAACATTACGATAATATGTGACCATTAATCAAAGGACTATTAGAATAGTGGGTTTACAAAAATAAAATCCGATTGAGAAGGTTAAGGTGGAAATAAGGATTAACAATAATGGGTTGCGTTTCTTTAGTTGGGCTCACCAATGTAGAATTATGGTCTACCATTATATTAGTACTGCTCTAATAATAGACCTAATCCCAAAATTGTAGATTCGTCATGATATAACTGCCTAATCTATAAGATCTTACGTGGAAGTCACACCATCGACTACACCAACTCACTGTATCGTATCAATTACCAATACATGATGTAGAACAAGGTTAGGCTAGAGAAAGAACAATATATTTAATATGAATAGAAGATATAAGGTAACATTTAGCAGAGACCACGCCTGCATGGCCGAGCCATGCCACTCGATCAACTCCAGTCCATTCAATTCATTCTCTGCGCCTTCTCCATTGTTAGGTATTTCCCCGAGTTAAATATTGAATATCTATTTTCTGAGTAGTCTCGTGTTCACAGCTTTGTGGATTGTGTGGCTATTGTCCAATGCCACTACAGTCCGAAAAAAGAATGAAGGTGACTGGCGACCGTGCGGGGATTACAGAGCCCTCAACCGTCAAACCGTACCAGATAGGTATTCAATACCGGAGATCCAAGATTTCACATACGGTTTACAGGGTATGAACATATTCAGTAAAATGGACTTAGTCAAGGCATATCACTATATCCCAGTGGCTGATGAAGATATTCCCAAGACAGCTGTTACAACACCCTTTGGTTTATTCGAGTTTGTACGCATGCCATTAAGCCTGAGAAACGCGGCACTTCCTCAGATATTCTTGTCCCACATTTTCACACTTTCTCTTGAAAGCATGCAACAAACCGTCAGCGATAGCTGTAAAAAATCACATGCTACAAAATAAGATGACAAGCTAGTAAATGAAAAGACATCTATGGACTATCGTTGACAGCATCAGTCGTCACTGATTGTAAGTCAAATAGTGAACGAGTTGATAATTTTCCCTTGGGATGAGAAATAGAACTAAGGTGTTTTCGATAGATAGGTTAATCGAACCGACGTTCCTACGGAAGTCGATTCTAGGGGGAAGCTAATGTAACAGCTTAGGTTGGTTGTTTAAGAGTTGACCCCAAACAACCAAGCATACGCCAAGACAGTATTGTTCAAGTATTCATTCACTTCCTTATTTTGTATCAGCGTTATATTCCCTATTATCTTATATTGAATGTTGAGAGCCTTTGTTTGTCTGAACAGATAATCCCACGCTCCACTGTGACCGCGCTAAGATCGAAATAAAGACCTATTCACTACTTGTCTGGTTTCTTCTATCAATAGCACGAGGGTTACCTTAAGGCACGAAAAGTTCACAATGATCATGATAGTTATGAGGGATGCTATTCACTGTGATCACATCACTGCTTATCAACATGCAGAGGTTGAAATTTCGGCGCTTCCAAGCCAGATGGAGAGGGTTTGTTTTTCACTCCAAGTACCTTTTATAATCGCTTTGTCTGAACTCTTCAGAAGGGTGTGATACTTCTTAAACAACTCTAAAGCCTCTCATCCAGTATTACCAACAGTTTGGAAACCGAAATTATCGGTCCTTCTTATTTTATGTTTTTAATAAATAAAACGACCTGCTGAGTAAACACTATTTTAAGACAATGAGCTATAACAACTACGAAAGCGTTTTTTGTCAATTGGCATTACCCAAAAAAGGAACAGACCAAAAGTGTATCCCTGAGTAGTCTATTTTTGATAGTCTTTCCTGTTTTCCATAGTCAATAACTGACAGCTGATAAATTCGCTTTACTCAATTAACTCATTCTGATCTTGGTGAGACGATTGTTTGTTTATTACTTGGTTGATTAAAAAGTACTCAATTTGTATGCGCGATTGCCATTCATTATCAATGCTGCTAAAGATTGGACCCAAGCCGGACAGAAGAGATTACATTTCGAAGAGATGTTGTTGTACTCTGATCAAGGAGGAGAACGTGCTTCGAACACATAAAAAGTTGCACTGATGCTGTCCAGAGAAGCACGAAAAGCACTTACAGGATGGGAATCATATGGAAACCGTTTCATGTGCTGACTGTACGAACTAATGATTCTTTGTACTTGACGATTGCCTGATTTTGAGTTCTAAATACAATACGCATGTTTGTTCTCACCTATTTCTGCTTGGTTTAAATTGAGCTATTTCGGGGATTCATAGTTCATAATTCAAATGCTTCTCATCACATTGTCGTCGCGATGGAACATTTGATGGGACAGCTGGATCTACATTTAACTCTTGGTGCTTTTGAGGATTATATGGAAAGGTTCGAAATCTGAACTTTGACCAAGGAAGATATCAAGGATGTTAATATTGTGGCTCATTTACTTACAATCATCGAAAAAGAAGCCCTTGTTCTACTAGAACGTGGAGCAACTTTGGGTTACTTCTATGTCAGATATCACTACTTCAATTAGAATGTTGTCAGGTCTTTTTGCTTTTTCAGTCTTCATTTGTTTGACGGCTATTCTGATCTCTCGATCGCATGAATTCTGCCACGATTCTGCCAATCTCTGCGTTTACATCGGCATCAGATGCACCTTGTTCATCGATGATGGTGCTCAAATACGTGAAACTACCAACTTCTTTCAGAGATTCTCCATGAAGTGTGATTGTCTTGGTGTTCCCCGCGTTATATTTTGAGATCATTCCAACGTTGGTGTTTAGGCCTCTCATCAGGATGGTCCTGACCTTTCCTGAGCACATCTCTACGGCCGACTACAAACTCTCATAAAACCGATATTGGTCATCTTCGTTACCATCATTTGTGAGTATATAGCGCTGCATTACATTCCTCGTGGTACCTTCCTTCTTTGTTTTGAAGGATGATTTGATGACTCGTGATAATTGGAAGTATTTGGGTTATTAAACAAACTAGGAATCCCGAAAATGCGTGATTTAAACCAAGAAGAACTAGGTGAGCACGAACAAATGTACTATATTTGGAATCCTAAATCAGATAGTCATCAAGTACAAAGAAATCAATAATTCATACAAACACCACACCCTCCAGAGCTTAAATGAGAATCCGAATTCCTGCAATCGATTGGACGTCTTGTATTTATCCTGTGTCTGTCAGAATTTGTAACGGATGTAGACTCTGTATGATCTAGAACATGCTCATTAGTACCAGATTTAACAGGTGAAATAGGAACAGACTCACCTGGGTCCTGAGATTGTGTACAATCACCACGTCGGTTGTGTACCGAAACCACTAATATCTAGAATTTGAAGTATAAACTTTCCAACACTATCCTCCCGATGATTTGACGTTGAATCTTCACATTCCCAAATTCTAAATGATTTTGCTTCACTTAAGGCATATTTCTTATATTACCTGGAGTATTCATTAGAATCGACTTCATGATAAGGATGAACAACAGCTAATATGAAAGATCCAATAGCAGACTTCAGAAGTCTAACAGAGTGGTCAAATTTCGAAGCCAGTTGCTAGAACAAATGGTATCTGTGCCTTCCATTACCTCATTCAAAAGAGGCTAGACACTACTCAGAACCAGAGAAGTAAGGGGCCAACATGGGTTATCACTATCTAAACTCAATGCACCAATACGAAACTACGCAGAGCCCTTCCCACGAAGTTTTAAGTTTTCCCCCAACATTTATAAGTATTCAGCTACTCTTCTTGAAGTTCATGTAACACTATTAGATATACACAGTAGATAATGCATCATTGTAAACAGTATATTTCACAATTACCAGCTATGTTTGGATACGCATGTTTGACCTTGAGGTTCAGGTTCGAAGGCTTGGCTTCGTTTTTCAGTGATTGAATTACTGGATATAGCATGTTAGTGTGTATATTTCGAATATTGGTCCCAACCTTTTACTTCCAAAGTTTGCATTTTTATAATTAATGATCTAAGTTTAATGATGTATTTGGACATATATACTATATATCATGCCTTTGGATCTGTTAATTCCGTGATACTTCGAAAATTTGAGACAAGGTTTTGTTCTGTAAGTAATAAAATCAAGTCCCTGTTATTTTATTCGTGAAATCTGTCCATATGTTTCACGAACTCTAGTGTTTCCGTATACATATGTATGTGCAAGATATCTCCATGGAGGTAATTACTTGATCGAATCTTCTTATAATATCGTCGTACTTCATTGTAGTACTACACTGTAAAAACAACTTAGCAGACTAAATTTCTTTGTTTCATATTGATTTTAATCCAGTCATCGATCTGTCTTTTTGGACACTTATGTCTTCCGTGGACTGTCTCCAATGTAAATTCCGACGATGCGATATTTGTTTCAAACGAAATAGATATAGTCGTAATGGAAGGACTGTTTTTGGTTTTACATTTAAATTTTCCATCACGTACAAGGTATTGTGTGATAAACTGAGATTCAGTGCATAGTTTATAAAATAATAAGACCTGGTCAATGTTTTACCACCGTTTAGTTTTGACTACAATCATACTGGTTACATTTTTGTACATATCCAAAAAAGTACTTGGTTCATTAAGGGCCAGTATTGGTGCATAATAATTTTAAATATCCAAGAATCTCACATGCTATTGCTCCTCTGTAGCTAAACATTACTGTTTTTAATATTACCATTTTGGCTAAATAATTTTGGCTATCGAATTCAGTAGGTATTTGTTGGCGAAACCAACGAAAGTTTTCCTAGTGGTAAACGTTTAACGTTTTTTGACATCATGTTTTGACACATGTTTTATACAATACCAGGCATAGCTCTCATGTCAATCTCAAAAACCTGCCCCGTAAATTTGACCTTAAAATCTTACCGCCTCACAACAAAATTAGGACTTAACATTCCTGTTGCTGATTATCAGATGCCTGCTATCTTTAGAGTATCACGATCCTGACATATTCTGGTATTTCTGAGTTTTCTTATGGCAGTTAATTATTCACAAGTATTGAGACATAATAAAGGATACATATCTTGATAGTTTTCACTGTGGCATACAGTGGCTTAAAGTAGCACACTGTTGTCTCACATTCTTTGTTGAAGTAATGGTTATTATCAGCAGTTTATTAATATTGTTTTTATCATTGTCGAGTAGGTCAATACAGTGGCATGAAATTAAGACTTAATCAGACCACTTAATTCAATTGCTAGTTCTGTAGTAGGATAAAGTTCCGTGTATTTATTTTAACTGGTACAGACTAAAGATTCGATTGCCCACAAATCCAGACTAGCTCTCCAAGTTAGACACTCAGCAAATCGAATCATGAAATATCAGCTTTCTCAGTCTTCAGAAGTTATTTTATTTCGAGGGTCAGTTAACACTCTACTGTCTAATAATAAGCTCCCCTCTTAAAATTCCATACAATCTAATTAATGTGTAAATTATGTGCTGTTGATAGTTTTTGAATGACTACAAATTTCAGCCTGATATGAATCAAGTAGCTCGGTTAAAAGTCAAAGTTGAAATATTTTTTGAGTGTTATACTCTCGAATTTGAGAAAATCAACATCTATCAAAGATGTTAATTGTTCGTAATTTGAGTGGACTTTTCAGTGATTAAATAAAGATAGACAAACATCACTTATATTCATAACTTGTGATTATCCACAACAACCATTATTCGTGATAAATAACTTTTATACAATGATAGTCATAAAAACTCGATTATTGAAATTATTTCAAAAACATGGAAAACAAAAGAAATGATAAGAGGGTAGTAAAACCAAATTCATTCACTAAACTGAGAGGTCAAATATTTTTCAAACAATCTTATACAATGCATTCAACTATTTCACAGCACATTTACCCAGGATATTTTATGTCTAATAATCTATAGTTTCATTTGTATTTGTAAATCAAATTGTGGTTTTTATTAGGCTTAATTGGTCATTTCGATTATTAATTTTAAACAATAAATTCATTTCTCCATATCCTTTTTAGTAACTCAGTATCCATATAATGGACAGTTTAAATACGAGAAGTCTTGATGACTATCGTGTGAATGCTTGTGATGCCATCCAATTCAAACTAGGTTTGTTCAATAACCTCTTTAATTGCATATGAAGTTAGGGACAAGGAAACTGTCGATTCAGTAGATACATTCAATCCTGAGTTCACTCACCAAATATTTGGTGAAAGGTCTATTAGCTTTCAGTGTTGCTAAACAATGTTTATTTAGTGAACAGATATTCGGATATCGCGATCTCAAAGTTGGCATATTTTACACAGCAGACTCTCTATCAACATGTATAGATATTTCTTATACATCCAAAGTTGATCCACAACTATCCAAAGGTGTTATGGTAAGCTTTTTTCTTGCGGTAATTAATTCATTTCTGTCTTTCATACTTTAGCCTGACGATATTATGCATATATTATCTGATGTTTATCCATATAACATCAGTAAGAACCTGAATGATTTTTTGAAAAACTTCGATGAAAAGTTTACTTTCACTCCATACGGAGTTAACAGATATAGTTATCAAATTATGAAAGGTATTTTCTCAATAAGTAATATTAATTTTTTGCAGATAAATGTCCAAAAAAGTTTTCTGTTTTTTTTATCGAACATGGTATGCCTGGATTTGAGAAATTCCTTGAATATCATAAACGGATGGAATCTTTCCTTCTTTTCTTCATAGATGGTGCATCTGCTATATCTACGGAAGATATTCAGTGGTGTTATTATGTGATGTAAATTACCAAGTTTATTATCGTTTTTGTTTAAATAACGATCTTTTTAGTTATGAAAATATTGGTCAAACAGATGACGGAAAAATGAAATACGGATTTATTGGTTACATGACAGTTTATAAGTTTTATGCTTATCCCAAAAATCTTCGACCACGTGTTAGCCAAGTTCTGATCCTTCCACCTTTTAGAAACAATGGCCATGCTACACAACTTTTACAAACTTTCTATCGTGATTTTGTACCAATGTCGAATGTCATTGATATAGCAGGTGAGATCATTATTTGTAAAAAAAACATCGTAACTAGTTTTTAAAAACGATGTGTGATAAATTACTCAGAGTTATCAACAAAACTTGTGCAAATTTAGGTCGTTATTTCGCATTTAACAGTCACTATATATATTCATGTGATTCATTCGTCGACACCATCGACTACACTCACTTAAATTCAGTCAGTTATACGCAACGTAGTACCTGACATATATGTGTATCGATTCAAGTTGCCATTATCAAAGTATTAGAAATAGTAATAGTATCATTAGTGGTGTAGAATAGTATGTACTTAAGTTATATTCATTTTAATAATTATCAGTGCTTGAAGTCACTAACTTCTAGTCGTAGCCACATTGGTAGATGCAGACTACTTGGTTGGGGTCCGCGTGACTATCGTAACCAATGGTTGGAGACTCTGGGTGGCATGGCTTAAAATTGATCACAATGGCGTAGGTGTGTACACTCTTTGTCTTCCCTTAAACCATAAGATTAAAATCGCTTCATATATTTCTTTCTACGAACTAATTCTCTCCTCCTGTATTATATCCTCATACCAAGTCTTTCTTTTATATATTGCCATCATTGAGTTAACTGCTATGAATCCGGTCTTTATCCTGCTGTGCTAATAAGATATGGCAACTTGAACCGATGCATATATGTGCCCTGTCCTACGCTGTAGCCGACTGACTGACTACCATTTTACATAACTGCCACCTGATTCGTAACTTTAACGAACAAAGCAAGTATTCTTAGTTCATCTTATTTCCAAAAAAAACTTATTTAGCTTAACAATATATATTCAAGGTAAATATGATTGTTGTAAAGTCAACTCATCAGTGCGTGACTAGCAAAGCTTACAGGTTAATCTATGGTTTATTGTTTAGAACACTCGGGTTTCATCCAATAGATCTCAGGTTCTAACCTCTCTTCACCTATTTCGGTAAAGGCAGTTGGGTAGTATCGCTATTACCTCACATAAAAAAGTATGGTTCAAAATAAAGTACAAGCTAATTAGTGTCTTGAGTTGAATTATGTAGAACTTCTCTTCGGTTAGAAACGTATGCCATTAAAAATAACTGGAAACATATTTATGGAATAGCAACTAGTAGCAGTGGAATCTTAACACGAAAGAAATGATAGATTATCGGTAATTGAGTGGAGTCACCAAACAGTTCAACCGTCCATCAGACATGTGACTATTCTGCCTCTCAATCCTTAGCTTGATTGGTCCTTGATAATTTTGAGGGTACTGCTTAGTATTAACATTTTGAATTGTAGTATTTTAGTTTGTTTCTGAATCATTTGTTTGATAATGCAGACTTGAAATATCATTTAGACAAAATAGAAGAATTAAATTAACAACTAGTTTTGTATAGATATGATCTAATTTTACCCTTAGTAGTAGCAGCTTTTTGTCTTTCATGAAATGTGCTAACTTTTCACATGTTATTAATTCGTTCTATTATAGTTGAAGACCCATCGCCTGAATTTCAGCGTATTAGGGATTTATTGGACTGCAAACGGTGCTTGGAAACCCCAGAAGTAATGCAAACTATAACACAGTCTAATTGTGTGAACGGACAAATTATTAGTGAGAAGTCTTCTGCAATACGCTTCCGAGAAATTTCAAGGACAAAGCTAAAACTAAATCGTTGTCAAAGTCGACGAGTGTATGAAATTCTTCGATTGTTTTTGTTGCCTCGTACAGATGAATATGTAAAGTCTTTTTCTGACGCATTAACTAAGCGTGCCACTGCATACTTTCAGGTATGTTGTATTATTGTATTTGTATATTTGAACTCATCCTTGAGTAAATTCAACGTTAATGATGGTTATCCCATGTATTCATGATGAAATAGATATGGTACACTATAATATCAAATTATTTACTACAGTCACTTGGTTTTTCTCAATAAATAGACATTATTAGGATTTGTATAATTGTCGTAAAGTTTGGTATGTTTACTTTGTAGCCATTTAAACAATCAAGATAATTTCCATTTTAGAGTTGTTTACTATTCTTTCAGAAAATTGAGTAGCTAATGACGAAGTTGTTGTTTTGTATAACAAAGCTTCTTTCAAAAAACAAGTACGAACTTTATAGCTATTATGACTTTCTTAAGCCTTGGATCTACTCAGTAATTGTAAATTTCCAACATAAAGGACATTCTACCACATTCTTCATTATCCCTCATAATGATTTTATTGTGTAGTACTTAAATTTTTGACTCTTAGAACACTAGATAGTCATCATGATCCCACTCTCTATTTAGTATTGGAATTTGACTTGATCTTCAAACGTAAATTGCTATAAACCACAAATTGAATACGATAAATAAAAAACTTAGAAACGCCAGTTTCATGAATTAGAGAGTGTTATACGTCATATTAGACAGTTCAAGTATCCCGTATGAAATTTTAATGAAAGCTGCCCTTAAATATGCTAGCAGTCTAGTTTGGTAAAAAATTTCGTTTTATCATTCTAAAGCTTGCCTCAGTATTCACCGTCTAGTTTGATTTGCCAAACTATTTTTTCTAGACGACCTTTCAAATATGAGTGTTGGTTATTGCTCGCGGTATCACAATGGTATAGTAAGATCAAAGTACCAACGAGAGTTTAATTCACAAGTTATTTAGTAATTTTGCACTCATTTGAATTGAAATCTAATATTCTGTAAATTCCTTGCCTGTTATAAAAACCATAGACGGTTAAAAATAAGACCGAATAACATCTTATATGGTATTGTTTATACTTATTTACTTCATTATTATAATTTACAGCTTCATCAAATGAGTATGATTATTATTGTTATTACTATGTACTTAATCATGTATCATAGCTCCTCATTCATTTGTATTGTGTGTTTTTTAATACGATTCAGCGGGTTCGACCAGATGCTATGCGAGGGTCTTCTTTGGTACCTAAAACAAGTGGTCCTTCTTCTTATAATCCATTGAAAAAGGCATTTGATGAAGCTGCAGACGAATATTTTGAAAGTCAACTGCATGAAGAAGTTTCTACCTTGTTGAAAAACTATCAAGACATTGTATATAAACTTGATCGTTTCATTTCTTCACTTAAAAAACAGTCGTAATTAGTGTTGTGTAAGATGTTCCCTTGTGTTGTTTTTCTTCCTGAAAAGAGTATTGTACCAAGATTTTTACTCGGTAAAAATTGTATTTTGTTGAACATGTTCCAATTTAGAATTGTTACGATGATGAGCCTCGCATGTTTATGTACGATAACCATAAAGTTATTGGATAACTTCGTTGGGAGCTGTAATCGTCATGATTTCGTATGCTCAAAGTTAAAATAGGCTAAGGGAATCTTTTAACTTTTTTTTGAGATTTTGAGATTTAACTTCGAGCCTTATAGTAATTAAAAATTTACGAATAGATGATCTGTGGCATTATGTATATGAAAACTGTGTATACGTGACTACTGATATTTTATATATATGCACGTGGCTTTCTATCGTTTAACTTATTGGTTTCAAAATTGTCAATGGTAAAACGATCATATCTGCTTCTATTACACTGTGTACTGTGTTTCTTAACTTGATCACTTTACTATAATTCCAGTCATATTCAAGAAGATAGGCATTCCAACCACTGTAGTTTAACTAAGTTACATTGATATATTAATCTACTATAAAGCCCATTTAATAACTGTTATTCACCAGTCATAGTTACATTCTTTATGTTTCCAATGTAACTGGTCTATCAACTATGTGACTAAGTCACGATAATTAAGATATTTGTCAATGTGGGAGTTTGCTTTTGAATAATCAACTCATACAGTTGAGGCCCTTTCGAAACCACCTCCTCACATTTTGTTTTCATTAGGAATGAAATTAAAGGACTAATTAATCAGAACAGATGACGTATTGGAAGTCGACAAATCCTCTTTTCTCAATGCATTTAACCATTATTTTCAGTTTGCATCTACTTGCCAAATACTTACACTGAAAGAAAAGAGAAGTGTACATGTTTATATTTCTGACGATGTTCCAGAGAGTTTGGAACTAAAAGTTCACACAACGCTAAAGAGCCCAATCAGCCTATATTTAACCGATAGAGATATTATTTATATTCTTTAGTCCTTCAAAATAACTAAACAAAAGACTCAATTCTTCAAATATATAAGTATTACGTAATTTATCTTATGGACCTTCTGATTCTAGATAACATTTACCCCACCCTCCTTATACTTTCTATGTCTTCAAATGACCTTACACATGTTTATATATATATATATATATATATATATATATATATATATATATATATATATATATATATACGGTACTGATAATCTTGGTCATTTCAATTTTGCCGTCGTCGCTGTTTATTGCTTCATATTGTTTTATTTTTGTGTGAATACGCAGTGGTAGGTAACCGATAAGAGACCATGAACTAAAAATAAGTTTCTCTTATTCCGAATCAGTTGTTGTCCTTGTTTTATTTAAATACATAGAGCGAACTGAATGTACTGTATATGAAATGGTTATTATTATTCGCCACTCATGATTACCACGACTTTGTAAATGTATCTCCACAGCAATCCCAATCAAATTTAAGTCCTAAAACAGCATTTTATAATATTTCATTCTCACTTAAGAAGTATTTTTGCTCTTTATTGGACAAAAAGATAACTAAGTATGTTTGGTATCCTACAACATGGCATCTTTGAGATGGTTTGCGTTGTTTGATGCATATAATATTTTGAAAGTTACCGTTTACTACTTATGAGTAGTAAGTGTTTTATTCATAAATTTGAGATTTTCCATAGAATGGTTTTCAAGAATACTCGCTTTATAGTTAATGTGGCCTTTCACTTGAATAGGAAGAAAATCTTTCAAGTTTAGGGTTATTATTAAATCTACTCCACTTATCCATAAATTAGCGTCGTTTCGTATGTACACATATTTTTACTGGCAAATTCATTTTCGTACTGTTTTCCATTGCTACTGATATTTTATTTAGTCCTTTTGTTGTTTTGAGTTGTGAAACTAACACTTAAGTATTGAATTTCCAATTATATTTGTGAATCGACATGTGTTTAACTGCTTTAACTCTTCGAGGTTTAGTCATTTTTTACGCTGCGAATTGACTGTGAAGAGATCCCACTTTGGCTATGTTCTTTGTTTTGAGTAAACTTGGTTGTTAGTCAGATTCTATTGGTTTTTCCTAAAATCCTGAACGCTTGTTTTACGTCTACTGGATTTTCCAATTTGAAACTATCTGGATTAGTTAGTTGTTGGGCAACAACTAATTTCATGTTTTCCTAGTTTTGGGTGATGATGCAATTCTGTCGATCAAGTTGCACTATTATAATTAATCTATGTTACTTGACATCATGTGATGTGCTATGAAGCTAGGTGGTCGAAAGTAGTCGGTTTCTTGCTAGTTGGTGCTCGCTGGCAAGATATACCTGAAATTTCGAAGGAGCTGACTCTCCTTTGTGAATTCGAATAAGGGTCACTCAGTTTACAGTCTGAGATGTCGCCTCTAGTTCTCTGAAGATTGAGGGTACACCTTGTTGATATGTATCAACTAGCAAAACACCTGGGTCCAGGATTTCCTGCTGATTATCTCCAGCAACCTAACACGAAAATCAGCAGTTAAAATCTGTTAATTTTTTATTTTCAATGGATATCGGATTCCAAATGATTACCTAAAATGTTAAATTACAATTAAGGCAATCATTGATGTTGTGGAATGTATCAAGCAACTGTTCGTAACCCAACATCACCTATTGATTTTTGTTTATAGTGAAATACATTTAAGTAGTTCTATTCAGTGTTTTTTTATAGCTAGAAAAAAACAAGGTTTCTTTAAAAGAAAACAATTTCCAAATTACATACTAGCGGAAGAATATTGTAACTAGTTAAGAATTATAAATACTTCTCTAATATTTCATTCTACCAGGCAATCTGTTGACTGATTTCTGTTAATCATACATTCTATGGAACCATTAATTTTGATTTACAGATTTTGTTGAATTTACCTGAATTTCTATGGCTAGAAACGCATCTCTTTAAATCGCCTTCATTGAAATTCCAAACCTCCTTTGCAAAAAGTTTGCTGACGTTCTGTGTTATCCGCTCACGAGCGTCTTTAACAGATCATTCGCAACTAATTTCATACCGAGAATGTGGCGAGAGATAAAGTTAATCCCAATACCTAAGAAAGTATCTGGCGATTAGAATGTGAAATTTAAAACCATAGCAACAACTTCGCCTTTTCTCAAAACAATGGAAAAATTATTGATACTCCCACCTCAGCCTCCACTAAAAATGCACATTGATCCGTATCAGTTTGCTTACAAATGCAAAATACGCACCTTACATGCTGCTGTTGTTCCATCTGACTGACTAAATAAAGAGTTTACATAATTTTGGCACTACTCGATATTTACTCTTACAATTTTTCGATTCTTGCATATTACTTACCAATCTTTACTGTTCTCCGTTATTCTTTCCCAGGCTTTTGGGCAAAGCCTTTGCTGTATTGAGGAGAGTTCTGAAGGAAGTTAGCAGGGTGCATGGTGAATCTTTTGAGGTCCTTATTAATAAGGTTGTAGATCGACATCTAGTCTTACAAACTCCTGTCAGGTGTTGTGTTATTAGATACTAAACATCCACTTCATTCATATATTCCTTCTTGTATATCTTCTGGTAGAACGAGACGTAAATACATTAGAACCCATGCGCTCAAGCAAAGATACGAAAGCTCTACAATACCTTATCTGGCAAATATGCCGTGTGACGAACAGGTTGTTAGAGTTGACTTAATCAACAACTTGTATTTTTCAACATGTTTCTAATTGAAAACGTACAGGTTCAAATCTTCTTGAAAAACACTTCATTTAATTACAGATAGTTTATCTACTTAACTTATGTTTGTGTGTATGCAGTTACTAGTTTCTTTCACTATTTTCCGTTTTTTTGCAAAAGAAACTTGTTGAAATACCTTGTGTTGAGAATTCTATATTGTACCAAAAATATGATATTGAATAAAGCCACTAATAGTAATTATTATATAATTAAGCTTATGCTTTTAAACACTGCAGTCAGACAATTCATAATCCTATGTAAATAAACGGTTATAATTTGATAGTCACAGAGCCGTTTGGAGATAATAATGTTTAACGGATTTTTATTTTACAATTTGTAGGTATCTCAGAAAACATTTTCCCATCCTTAAAATTTCCCTTAATTTATTTTCACTTGAATCTCATTCTAATCCAGTAAGTCGCAGGTTAGAACCCTGGTTTACCTACTTCATTTTTGGCAGTTAGGTAGCAGGTGTGATTGGCCCTCCTACAATAAGTGTGGCTTAAAGCTTAGTATATAAACCTAGAGTTGTTAGATTAGTTGCATTAACATTCGTTGACTGGTGACACTATGCTTACATAACTAGTTTTTTGACCAACATATATGATGTCCACCCCCCCCATCAAGTTTAGCACTCAGGCAGTATCATAAGCCCTCGTAAAAGCAACATAGTCAATTAATTAATCAATGCCAACTTGGAGCTTGACACATATAGGCATCTGTGCAAGTTACCATACTACATCAACAGAGCGAGATGAAATTATCAAGACAAATGCCAGAGTATTAGAATTAGTAGTAGCATACCTGGTAGTAGAAAAGATTAGACATAGTATTATTCGGAAAGAAAAAATAAATCTGTGTGATGAAAGGTGTGAGTATTTTACGACAGTTTGAATGCATCTACTCAGTAGCGACCGACTCTCATCTGTGACGCCAGAAGTCTTAACAAATTGATAACAATAATCGTGTGTATCCTAACCAGGTAGTCTACATAACACATTTCAATAGTCACTGCATCCATGTGCTGATGCCAAATCTTAGACCTTTTACTCCTAGATTTCAGCTTACAAATAGAAGTACGATACAAAGCCGAGTACAGAAACGTTTATTTGGTAAATGAAGTGAACCCTGAATCTCTTTAAGCTAAAATAGATTATGCACAAGTTCCGGAAATTGTTTGCTTATTAAACTAGATCAAAAAGATTACCATTTCAAACAATCAACCTAATAGTTCAAATTTGCAGACTTATTGTCGATACAACTACGTCTGTAGCCCGTTTAGGATTACTGTCGGTCCAAAGCCCGGGTAAAAGAGGAGGTTTGAAAATGGGGTCAGCAACCCCATCCCGCAGAAAACAACCCTGATAAAAAACACTAACTAGAAAACATTATTAAAGCCATCTAAACTTTTCCCTGTGAGATGAAGGGTCTTCATTTAGAATTGTGATGCCTCATGGTAAAAGTCAAGATTCTTCGGTAGTCATGAGGTCAATGTCCCTTCCAATCACCAGAGCAACAATCAATATAGGTACATGGAATGTCCGACAAATGTAGGAGACCGAGAGGACCAACCAAATGGCTGTGGAAACGAGAAGCCACGACTTAATGGCTATCAGAATAAGTGAAACCCATTGGATCCAAGCTAGACAGAAAAGATTACATTTCGAAGAGATGCTGTTGTATTCTGGTCATGAAGAAGAAATTGCTCCGCACACATAAGGAGTTGCACTGATGCTGTCCGGAGAAGCACGAAA